TCTTAAAATTGGCTGCTTTGTCTGCAGATGAAGCAGGAGACAGATGATGTAAATAAATGTTCAGCATTGGAGGCTTTTTCATATCAAAACTTCTCTTAGAAATGTAACAAACTGGAGCTGCTGTCTTAAACATCAAGAGCTGGTGGTAATAAATGAACACCTCGGGATTTGTGTCCATGTTTGCACACTCAGCTTCAGATTACACATTCCCTCTGAAGAGGACTGATGAAACGACCAAGTACTGCAGCTCTTTTTTTCTATTTTAGCATGAGCTATAAGACTGGGTGTGTAAAAGTCAGCAAGACTGACTGATGTTATCTTCTCCTTCCTTGCATCCTCCTGAGGTAGATTGGACCAGGATGAGTGCCAGTTTGCTGCACAGCTGTGACTTAACAGTGGGGTTTTATGTAATTTCCTTGAACTTTTTTTTCTCAGGCTGCTTTGAGCATCATAACCTTTGTTGCTAACCTTACATCCATCCCTTTATAAGCCCCGTCTCCTGATGAAGGATAAAGCACCATGTCACAGAGCTCAGATCATCTCTAATTGGTTTGTTGAACATAACAATGGTCTCTAACAGCCTCCACAGCCATCAAATCTGAACCCACTCTGGAATCTTTGCAAAGTGTTGGAATGGGAGATTTGCATTATGAATGGAACCATGTAAAAATGTCATGTCAACATGGACCAGATCCTTGTTGGGTCCATGAAATAAACAATTAAAGTAGAAAGTCTGAGTTTTTCTCAGAGGGCACCACCTAGAGCCAGAAAAAATATATTGCACCTTTAAGCTCCTCTTAATGCTTCCATTAAGCAGCTGGGCAACGCCTCATTCACTTACTTGTCCACAGTGTTGCCACAGTTACCTTGAAATAGTAATCTGATTACTGACTACTGATTACTCCTTCCAAAAGTAACTTAGTTACTTTACTGATTCATTCATTCAAAAAGTAACTAAGTTAGATTACGAGTTACTTTATTAGTTATTTTCAGCATCTACCAAAAGCCCTCTCCACTACCTCAGCATGACAACTACAACTGGTTTTGCCAACACTAACTTTATTGCAAATGCTTTTTAACAGTAATGTCAACAATGTATCTTTTTAAGTTGAACTTAAAACCTATTGCCTGACATAATGCATGTTTGTAAAAAATAAAATAAAAACAGTCTTTCTTGACCTCACTTAAAATAAATAGTATTCATAAAACATAAAACACACAGAGCCAGCATGTACAAAGAACCTTAATATTTTCATCTTTAGCTGATACAAACTCAAAATAGTGACTATATTTCCAAACGCACCTCTCTCTCCTCCCGCCATTGTTGATCACGTCTGTAGTACAGGGGTCGGCAACCTTTTCCCATCAAAGAGCCATTATTACCCGTTTCCCACACTAAAGAAAACACTGGGAGCCGCAGCAGCCGCGGCGTTGTGGGCGGGGCCTACCCTCAGACAGCAGAGAGCTGCTTTAACCAATCACAACAGGTGACAGCAACCAAAACCAGTCACTCATGTACCTTAAAGTTATCTTTCAACAGAAGACAATAAATAAAACTGTTGGTATTAAATTGACCCAGAACTTGTAGCCCATCTGTGTCGACAGTACTTAGATATTTTTCACCCTGTTAGTGGTTTTAATGTTGAGCAGGTGACATTTTTTGACGTGTCACGCACGTCTCCTGTTAAAACACGTTTAAACTGTTCAGAATACAAATCCAGGCTCTGTCTCGTTGGATTGTTGTAATTAAACTTTGTGCTGAACTAAACTTTACATTAAACATTGTTGAAAAGGTAAGAAAAGGATCCGATCAATTTGTTTTTGCCTCATTTTCAGAGATGGAGATAACGGCGTAGTGTGCATGGCTCTGGTGTTAATCAGGTTTAATGTTCCTGTTTGCAACAAACTTCACAAGAAGGCAAAACAGTTAAATGACAGGGTTCACAACGACTGGATATTTCCCGTATTTGATCATTTATTATGATGGAGAAACATCAAGGCTGCAGATGCGCTGATATTTTTATCATTACGCACATCGCGGAGGTAGCTACATCAATCAAGAAAAGAGTCCCATCAGAACATCTGAGCTGGACACTGAGCTCCGCGCAGCTCGCTGTCAGCGCACACGTAAGATAGACAGCGAGCTGAAGATGTGTAAATCGGGGGCTTGGTGCGCGTTGCAGAACCAGAGCTATGCGGGAAAGTTCCTCTCACTGAAGCGAGTGTTTTCCAAACCCTGTCTCTGAAAATGTTCCCTGATTATGAAACTTTGGCTGAATAGCACTTGTTCCTGCCTCCAACGTGGCGATGCATGCATGAGCCTGTCTGAGGAAAAGCCCAGAACCTCATATCCTCCTCTTCAGCTCAGAAAGCTCCTATAGAGACATCTGATTACACTCAAGCAGGTGACCTGTCAACCGTTGGACCTATTCAGGTTTACGCAGACTATCTTTACATTTAGAATTGGCATACAGATAAAAATGAATGCAGTAAAACAAAATATATTTTAATGAAATATTCATTAATTATTTTACATGCAGAGAGCCGCATCATCAGATGGATGAAAGAGCCGCATGCGGCTCCAGAGCGCATTATGGTTAGCCTGCTTTCCAGTTTTATCTTCTTTATTGTGCGTTTTGTTGGGGTTTTATTGCAGGGATGTGTTTGATGTTTTTAGTCGTTTATTCAGTAATATGACTGTGCTTTTTTTGTTGGTTTTAATTTTGCACCACGAGTGACGTTATATTCCAACAAATGGCATCGCGGTGCCGTTCAATTGTTTAGTGCAGCAGTGCACTGTTTCCCATGTGCAAGGAAAGAGCGCATTGGTTGGTCAAATACATAATGCAAAGGGATCTTGGTTCCTCCTTTGTCATGTTTCATGTCCTTAACTCAGGATTTACCTATACGCAGAAAAAATTCAGCGTAAGGAATAAAGTAACGCAGATTGCCTTAGACAAGTCGTTACCAAGAAATGACGGCATTTTAGAGTAACGCGTTACTAAGTACTGCCATAACTGCTTGTTCATAAGAAATATTGCCAACTATGCATGTGTTTGACATCTGAGTTGAACACCGTTGACAAGCAGTTCCAAGGTAAATTCTTTTTTGGTCTTTGAGGCACTTTTTGGCAAGTTAAAGATACTGAAAATATATATTTTAATGATTATTTCTGGAGTTTTTTATGCAGGCTGAATATATAAACATATATTTTTATATGTACAACTATCTCCTGCATTAGCTTCTGATAGAAAACAGACGGTGAAACTCTAGGATATTAAAATCCTGACAGATCTACGTCATGCTGACACTTAACATTCATGGACTCGCCCATCTTGACTTGTGACGAGGAAGGCTGTTGTTGGTGTAGCGTCCAGGAAGAAACAGAGAACGTCTCAGCTAGTAGATGCCAACCGTTAGCATTAGCAACTCTACCACACAGCAGAACTCCTTCAAGCGTGTGTTACTTGTGGAGATAAAACATTAAGGTTGCAAAGCAGAGACAGTGGTAGAGTCATGTTGCTAGCAGTCATTGGCAAGATGTCCAAATATCAGGAAATAGCTGTCCAAAACCTGTCGATTGAAGCTACTTTCTCCCCTAGCTGACTTGGACTTTGTGATTCAGGCACATCTGGGCTTTTATAGCAGGGATATCATCACATTTCTGCAAAAATACCTGTAATCTGAAACCGACAGCAGGATTAACCTTAAACTGCCCATTTCCAGTTCAGCTCTCACATTGTATAACAGTTAATATCTGCATGCGAAATATTTGTTTACTGTTGTTGATCAATGTTGTTCTGTTGGACACTCCTCTGTACATCTGATCAGAGTTTGGTGACAGTGGTCAGGTCAGAATTTAATCCCAGAAATGGAAGCATTTTCAGTGACAAGCGGGAGAACAAGGGAAACAGGAGAAAGAAGGGTGAGCAGGTCTTGGTGCTTCATCTTTAGCGTGACACGACTCCCTGCTTTCACCGGCGCCTGGAGGAGAGGCGATGACTTCATTGTTTTAGTCTATCGTGGGCTTCGAGACACCACTTGCATCATTAGTAATTGTCCAATAATGAAAAAATAAAGATAAAGCAGATTACTCTATTCGAGAAGCAGGAATACAGACATCTTTACACTTTTTTGTATTTCAAGTATGCATTTTAAAAGCTAAAACCTAAGAGGAAGGTGGATGACACACATGAAGAGGAAACAGCATCAATGATGATTTAACGAATGTTTGATTCATTTATTGCAGGATTTGGAGAAATTCAAAGATCATTTTCCATGATTGCTCATTAATGTTTACTATGGTCACCTGGCCTATCATTGAGTTTTAGCTCCATTCCTATAAAATATCACATACAACAGCTTGCCCTAACTAAATGTGAAAATCCTAATCCTGTTGGCCGTGTGTTGAAGACAGACAGCACGACAAAGTAATATGTATGTGATCCTGCTGGAGTCACATTCTAGCTTCATTAGGGGTGACATGTAGTGTGCCGCAGTGGCTATAATTCATCCTCGTCTTCCTCAGAGTCAGCTCCGTCCTCATCCACCAACACCATTCATTAAAGAGCCCCCACCCAGTGAGAAAAAGCAGGTTAGCCAGTTAGAAGAGCTAATTTTTCAGTGGAAACAGGGAGAATCAAGGGCAAAATTATTCTATGTAGATGATAAAATCAAAGCAGAACTTTGTTTAAAGCAAATATGTTTTCAGCATGGAAATGTTTCTTCTATCCAGAATGAGAAATTCAGCTTAAAACAGAGGGAGTAAAAATAGAAGTACTTTGATCATTTTAAGACAATGTGCCAATGATAACTTGAAAGGCTAAAACTTTGAGGGTCTGTGGGAAGTAGTTGCACAAAAATGCTCTTTCATCTCTCAAACGCCATCATCAATTCCTAAAAATTTACCCAGACGAAAAAAAAAACAATATAAAAAACAGAAATCAAAGGTCCCACATGCATGCAGACGATAGATCAAAAAAGAGCTGCTGGAGCAATGATTTGATGTAGAATCTTTATTAAAAACAAAGTCAAAGACTGGTGTGGCAGATGTTGGGATGTCAGTCATTTGTTCACAGAGGAGACGAAGCGTTAGGGAGGCCAGGTTCTCTCAGGGGAACTGAAAACTCGTCTGTGCAGTCATCTGTGGCCTCGTCTTTACAAGCTTCTGCAGGTGTCAAATTGAAGTAGCTGATGTGCTGAAATTTCAGCACCTCGTTGCCCCAGCTGGTCCATCTGGGCTGAAGGCTTCGTGCAAACAACTCCAAACACTCAGCCTCAGCGCCAACAAATGGCCTCAAGACCTCTGTGGCGAAAAGGAGAGGAGAAATTCAGATCTGTTGTCTGGAGTATGTGCATCATTTCCAAACATAATAAGGCAGAAATCTTAAGTTTCCTGTTAGATTACACCATCTAGAGGTGAAAAAATGTACTGCACCTTAAGCCCCTCTCCTTACTTCCATGCTTTATGGATGGAAGCAACGCCTTTTGTTCCTGAACCCTCACCTCTAGGCAGGCAACAGAGCTACAACATTTAACTATTATTCTCATGTTATGCTTTTTATCTCTCTCTCACTCTCACCCTCACCCTCACCCTCACTCTCTCTCTCTCTCTCTCACCCTCACCCTCACCCTCTCACCCTCTCACCCTCACCCTCACCCTCACCCTCTCTCTCTCTCTCTCTCTCTCTCTCTCTCTCTCTCTCTCTCTCTCTCTCTCTCTCTCTCCCTCTCTCTCCCTCACTCTCTCTCTCTCTCTCTCTCTCCCTTCCTCTCTGTCTCTCTCTCTCTCTCTCTCTGTCTTTCTCTCTCAAGACTGATGCTATTATGCTATAAGGAGGTTCGAGTAGGTTAGAGGTGGTCAATGTCAAAAATATTTAGTTTCAATTTCAATTTTTGACTTGTGTGAACACAAGGTTGAAAAGATATGTAAAATGTCTACGTATCCAGTCATCAAACTCACCAAATTCTGCTAAATAAAAGCCTCTTTAATTCCAGTTAATTATTAAACCTGAACTACGTAAGAAAGAACACCGATCACATCTCAAAGAAGGATAAATTAGTATGAAGGCAAGATCTGTAGAAAACAAAGACCATTAGGTTCCAACAACTGTAATTACTTAATTGTACTTCATTTTATTTATTTAAATAACTTTACTTGGGGGCTCAAGTTTGATCATGATTTCTTTCACTGTTAGTTCTTTATTTGTGCACAGAGAAACTCCAGCTACACACAAATGTGAGATATTAATTTACTGCTTCACATGCATCTGATCAGCGAGGGTTCCTTGTTATTTATCTGGTAAATATGCAGAAGACAGCCGTGGCAGCTGCCCAGCTCACCTCAGAGCAGATTTTTCTATGAGGAGACTGGAAGTGACCTTGGCTTTCTATGTGCTAATATTCCAGGAGAGGCACAGCTGACAGATCTGTTTCACTTCCTCTGCCCCTGTGCGACTTGACTCACTTCAGCCAACACTCAGGGAGTTAATGAGCTCAAAAGACGGATCCCAAAACCAATCCAACCCGTACAAATACTGTAATTTCCTACATTCTTCTCCCGTCTATGTCCGTCACAGAGACAGAGCCACGGTGTGGAAAGGCCAAACACGCATCTCTGCTGCTAATTCATCCTCAAGTGGTGACTCAGCTCTCAGGCTGAGAGACAGGTAAAGGTTTAATTATCTTCTTAACTTCAAAATGGGACAACGCGTCAAACTTCTGACAAGAAAACCCAAAGGACAGGCAAGATGTCGGTCCAAAACCCGCAGCGCTGTCTAATAGCAACCAGGAATGTCAGTGACAGGAACCTCAAACTGAGAGGAAAACACGGGTGGGTCAAAATGTCTCGACGTGGTGGACTCAAGAGCCGGGGCTTCAGACCACTTACTGAAAGGTGCAGCAGAATAAGAGAAGTGAGAGAAAAAGTTTGACCGGATAAAGCCAGAGGTCTTTAGATGTTTTTATCATTGTTTGGTTTGGAAAATCTACTACAAAAAAAGAAAAGAAATGTCAACCTTTGAATTTTAGCCAAAGATGATAAATCTTTACCATAAATACTTTGGTTTGACTGTCTCCATCAGAACTAGATCAACTTTGGGGACCCTGCTTGGGTTCGGCACACCTGCTGGTTAATCTAAGATAATGAAACAGCAATCTGTGCCAATATTAAGACTTGTATAAATGAGGGGTAAAGGCTGTAAATAAGCCCTTGTAAGTAGAAAATACTCTTAATCTGAATATCATCAGGTGGTATTATGAATAAGCTTGCGTCATAGTTTAATTTTGCTTTGATAGTTTTTGAAGCAGATTTTATCCACTGTGGTCACCAGATATCGTGAAACACTGTCAATCACACGCAAGAATGAGATTTTTTGAACATTTTGCTCTTTTTGAACTTAAACTTGACATTAATTTATACTAAATTTTAAAGCAGTCTTCTCATATCGTTATTTCTGCTAATACAGATGGTGGCAGCAGTGGGATTCCTTGAATGACTCCTCCCCAAAGCTAAGGCAAACTTTCATGGCCATTTGCTTTATTCCATTATAATAGTTCCAGGAGGGAAGTCTTGGTCCTTCCTGCTGTTGTCTCCAATTTAAGACGGTCCTTTTAATACTTAAGACGTCAAAATATCATAACCGTTTTGGTGGTGAGTGATTTCACTAATCAGCACAAGGCATCCACAGATATTATAAACATTATTATTTTGTCAAAGAACACCATCATTTAGGGGATGGAGAGAATGTCTGTGTGGTGTTCAATGACCAGAGGAATCACTGTTTGTGATGGCGCTCTGGGGGACAATAAACCAGCACCAATCAGGGCGTTGTGGGGGGATTTGGGCCTCGTTGTTTGGCGTTGGCTGTTTAGAAATGCTGATTCAGTCTAATTGTAGGAATTCCGATTTACCAATATCATTTCCAACTGAGTTCCAACCAAATAGCTCGAGTTAACCACAAGTATCACCAGGTGGTTAGGAAGCCTCCTGGACACCTCCCTGGTGAGGTTTTCCGGGCATGTCCAACCGGGAAGAGACCTAAAGGAAGACCCAGGACAAACTGGAGAGACTGTCACTCGGCTGGCCAGGGAACACCTTGGGATTCCCCTGGAGCTGGCCCAAGTGGCTGGGGAGAGGGAAGTCTGAGCCTCTCTGCTTAGGCTGCTGCCCCTACGACCCGATAAGTGGAGGAAAATGAATGGAAGGATGGACTTTTACAGGTTTGAAGGGGAGATATAATGAACGAATACATTTTTTCCCCCATGTAATTGTAATATTGTGTACATGTCTGGTCATTTCCTGATGCCAGGTTGAACTAATCTCCGGCTCTGACTGAAGCTGGTGTCCTTTTTCTCTGTTAAACTCTGTGAACTTGTATAAATACATTATTTTAATTATCTGAGGGGAAACATCTTCTACTGGATGTCTCATTTGCTCGTGGTGAAAAGAGAGGGATGAGTCGAAAGGCAAAGCTGACGAATTCCCAATCGACCCGTGATCCAACACTCAGCTACAGTTGAGCGTAATGATCAAAACAATAAAATCGTTGAAACAAGTGGCTGAAATGGACAGAAGTGTGCAGCTTTTCAGGAGGAGTTCACTCCTCCTCAAAAGAAGCCAGCTGAGGTAGTTTTGGATATCAAAGATGTCTACTAGTCGCTTTCAGGCATGTCCCATTAGGACATCTCGGGAGAATCAGGACTCACTGGGGACAAGATATCTCACAGCTGGTCTTGGAATACACCCCTAAAGATGAGCTGAAGGTGGTAGCTGGGAAGTTCTGGGATCTATGTTTCTCTAGCAACCTAGTTCCAGTTTAGCAGCATAAGACGAACAGAGGGACCGAGTGAAAGTACTCATTCTGGGTATTAAGTAAAATAAACATTGTTTCGTCACTGAAACTCAGTGCAGCTGTGTCACTAGATGTAACCCAGGTTCACCTAATAAAACTAATGTTTCATGTTTCAAGCATCGTCGTAAAAGAAAACCCCTCCAAAACCACCGAAGCAACTAACGGGAATGAACAACGCAGTTGTGCACGAACCTGCTGAGTCTTTGCCACAAACAAAGAAGCACACATGGAGACCGAACACAATCTGTTTCCTAATCTACTTAATCTCTATGGTATCACAGCTCCATAGAAGCATCATTATGATTTCAATCAATGCATTTCCACAATATCCACCCACTTCCATGAGACACGGGGCTTTTCTGTGCTGCTGAAAGGGTAACCAGCAAACAGCGGCTGTGTGCTGCTCCCCATACTGCACAATACACCGCGTTCCCCTGGGAGGGCGGGAGATGACGTCAGGCCTCACTTGTTCTTAGTCCTTGCATACTTATTATCAAGATTTTGCATTGATTCTAAGTTAGGAGGGTGGATGCTGGAGATGCTGCACAAATCTGACACCTGAGTAGTAAAAGTGCAGTCTTTAATGAGTCACAACTCTTCCAGGTTCAACGCCTGCTTGGATTTATGCCATTGAGTCTGCAAACAAGTTTTGTTTATATATATATATATATATATATATATATATATATATATATATATATATATATATATATATATATATATATATAAACACACATTTTCTGCCGTTTAAAAGTTTGACTCACACCTTTGTTGCTAACTTTGCATGAATGAGTGGCATGATTTCACCCACGCAAACTCAGAGAACGGACTTTCACTTAATGCCAACATGGTATTAGAAGCAGCTACTTATGCATTCAGCGATGTTGCAACATTGCTCTCTAGTGGTGTGGATAAAACACAGCACTTAGAGATTTACCTGACAGTGAAGGCTTCTGGGAGTGCAGAGCTGAGGGGACACTCACAATCACGCACTTATCTTCAATCTTGGGGATTTCTGAAGGCCTGAAGCAACACAATGACATGAATCTGATTTGGATTTGTTCCATGGAGGGGTTTTAAATTTTAAAGCACAAGAAACATGAACAATCTCATACTTTCTGGAGGTATCAGCGGAACAATATCGACCCAACACCAGTATTTCATATGGCTTCTTGTGCTGGGAATCTATGGGAAACACATACTCCCCAGATGTGGTGACCTAAAGGAAGAAAGCCACTGAAAGAGCTGAAACGATTCCAGATTGGGATGTTTGGGATGCTTTGTTGATGCATGTTGTGTACCTTCACCCAAAACCAGTCAGCCAGGACTTGTACACCCCAGTGTGGGTACAGTTCATCATGAACAAAACGCAGGTGGCTGGGCCGGTTCGTCACCCAGGTAACCACTAAACAGTCTTGAGAGGCCAGTGAGGGGATGGGGAGGCGTTTCAGCTGGGATGAGGGCAAGAAGCTGTATCTTTATGAAAAAATAAATATGACGAAAAGAATAAATACAATTTCCTTTTTCCATCACCCTAGTTGTTATAAATTAAATTATAAAAATATATTTCTGAGAAATCCTGAGGAGATCCTTAGTCTCACTGAACATCGTCACTCTAAATAATATTCTCTAGGGATGTCCCATTCCGATATTGGAAGTAATGCGATATCGGCCCAAAAACAGTGCATCGGATTATATGGGACGGCATGAAAAATCTCCGATACAAGCAGTCCGTTAAGGTTCACATTTTTGCAACCAATGGTAAAGAAAAAATTGTCATTTATTTCATACTTACTGTTATTGGCTCTTGTTCTCCAATTAAGTAATATCACTTGATCGAGCCTTTCATACACTCCACACTATGAAATAGGTTAAAGTATGTATGATTTCTGCTGATATCGTATCAGATCGGTATCGGTCAACACTAAAGGTTGCCATATCGGTATCGTATGGAAAGTGAAAAAGTTGTATCGGGACATCCCTAATATTTGCTTTATGTGATCTAAATATGCAGACAAAGCTGGGGATCTTTAGTGGAATCAACTAATGGCAAATTGCAACTTTCACCAGTAGATGTCAGTATATGATACACATTAAACTGGTTTTCTTTTTTTTTTTTTTACCAGACATATTACCTGAAAAAGCACCCTGGCATAATTTTTTCTTCTCATCAACACGTGAAGTACAAATATAAAAGCCAAATCACCTGCGACTCCGTTTCACAGACTTGTTTTCCCACGGTGGATCAATGACGATTAAATCGAACCTTCTCCCACCTGGTTGAAAAACAAATATCTTATTCAAAAAAGTGTTTGACAGTACTACAATTCAAATGTTCTTTACCAGGTGCATGAAAATACTGAGATATGCTTTTCCGTTACACATTAATACTCACACTGGACCAGTGGTTGTAATCTAGTGAAATCAGAGAGCAGGAAAGCTGCGTTAGGCGGTATAACATACTCTTCTCCCATCAGCGGGACCACCACTGCATAGTCCTGTTTGTTCTCTGTCACTTGGGAGAACAGGTCTACATGGGAAGCACAGCTTTCTCCAGTGACAAGTGGCTGGGTCCACTTCTTCTGCTCATCCTCCACTAGAGGGAGCTCTTTAGCCATTTCACAAAGAGCTACCAGACTGCACTCCTGGGAAGGAAGAGCCTCCATCAATGTGTCTCTCTCTCCATCCAGATATCCAATGGATTGAGCTGAATCCACCAAAGACTTGGTGCCCTCCACAATAAAAGGCCTGATCTGTTATTTTGCATAGACACAGATATGTATACAGTGTTTAATCCAGAAAGTGACAATATTGTCAGCATCACAAATCTAGCTATGTACGTGTATATATCTATCTATCTATATATACATACATATATATATATATATATATATATATATATATATATATATATATATATACATATATATATATATATATATATATATATATATATATATATATATATATATATATATATATATATATGGGTATGTGTTAGAGTCAGAGTAAGAGAATGAGATTTAACTAACCTTCTCATGGAAGATCTTTATATCTATTTCTCCTTGATTGAGTTTGCTGTGTTTTCGCTTCCTTTTCTGAAAATCAGATAAATATTTATAGTGTAACACCATGGATGGAGACTTATTTCAACTAGACTTCCTACTAGAAAAATACTTTGAAAAAAGGCATTGCCTGCAGGCCCGAGAGAAAAGCATTGAGGCAATGATTGACAGTACCCCTTTCCCCAGCTGGCAGAGAGGCTACTGTGCTTAGTTGCGAGTCGAGCAAGAGCAGGAAGCGATGTGCACACGCAGAGATGGAGTTGAGCGGGCAGACTATTTTGGTCTAAATTCAATTATTGTAAATACTACAACAATCACTGAGCAGGCCAGATTAACGGCCAGGTCAACGGGAAGTCTCCCGTTTCGCCCGAGTACCAGTCCGCCACTGCCAGCTACACAGGTGTCGTACTTATATTGAGCGTGTAACATCCATCCATCCATCCATCCGCTTATCCGGAGTCGGGTCGCGGGGCAGTAGCCTAAGTTGAGAGGCCCAGACTTCCCTCTCCCCAGCCACTTGGGCCAGCTCCTCTGGGGGAATCCTAAGGTGTTCCCTGGCCAGGTGAGAGACATAGTTCCTCCAACGTGTTCTGGGTCTCCCTTTAGGTCTCCTCCCGGTTGGACGTGCCCAGAAAATCTCACCAGGGAGGCGTCCAGGAGGCATCCTGACCAGATGCCCAAGCCACCTCAATTGGCTCAACTGGCTTGATGTGGAGGAGCAGCGAATCTACTCCGAGCCCCTCCCAGATGACTGAGCTTTTCACCTAAGGGAGAGCCCAGCCACTCTGCAGAGAAAACTCATTTCGGCCGCTTCTATCTGCGATCTCGTTCTTTCGGTCACTACCCAAAGCTCATAACCATAGGTGAGGGTAGGAACGTAGACTGACCGGGAAATCGAGAGCTTCGCCTTCTGATTCAGCTCTCTCTTCACCATGAAAGACCGGTACAACGCCCGCATCACTGCAGATGCAGCACCAATCTGCATATCGATCTCACGCCCCAGTTTTCCCTAACAAGACCCTCAGATACGTAAACTCCTCCACTTGGGGCAGGACCTCATCCCTGACCCGGAGAAGGCATTCTACCCTTTTCCGAATCAAGACCATGGACTCAGATTTAGAGGAGCGTGTAACATCTGCACAAATTTTTTAATTAAATTTTTTTTTCACTGAAAAATAAAGGTCCACCCCAAATAACAGAGGGGGCGCAGGAATACTAAACTATAATGGACCTAATAATGTCGACAAGGCCACCGGCTCCAAGCGCGAACGTTTCATTTCGGCAGGTGAGTGGCCGAGCCAGCTGGAGGTGCGGCCAAGACTCAGATGGAGTCTGGTGCAGCGCAGCCACGTAGCATGGGGTAGACACCATCACCTGTCACATCTCAGCCATCAGCTGTGGCTGATTCAAAATCCATAAGGAGCCAAGTTTTAACCTGAAGATGGAGATATAGTTACGATTTTGGGCTGAAACATTAGATTTTAAGTAAGCTGCACTAAACTGCCAAAATAATGATCACACATGTCTTCAGCACTATTAGACACAGGTTAATCAGCAACAACAACAAAACAAAGTTGATTTAGGTGCTACTCGCACTTTGAGTAACATTAAATGTAAAGAAAAAACCTGAAAAAGCGTAATAAATAGATGTTAGTAGGTCACTATGAAAACTGGGATGCACAGTGGAGCAGTGGTTTGTGCGGTTGCCTTGCAGCAAGATGGCTTCGTTCCAAGTCTGGGGTCTTTCTGCGTGGAGTTTACATATTCTCCCTGTGCATCCGTGGGTACTTTCTGGGTACTACAGTCCAAAAATATGACTGTTAGTTAACTGGCCTCTCCTAAATGTGTGAGCACTTTTGAAACTTCTTTGCCTTGTACAGCACTTTAGTCAGTTGCAACGCATGCTCTATAAACAAACTATGGATGGATGGATTTGATTCAAATATTTAGAAAAAAATTGATATATTTCAGTTAAATTAAGAGTATTTCAATGTAATCTAAAATAGCTGAGTCTTCTGTGGCTGGCATGAGGTTTGCTCACAGGTAAGTTTAACCCCACATGCTTCAATCCTGCAATCTCAACTGACTGAAATACACACACACACACACACACACACACACACACACACACACACACACACACACACACACACGTTTAATTACATTCACACATAGTTGTCAAGAGACAATCACATTAACATTCATTAAGACAGTCACACAGTCTGACTTGGGTGGCTTGCCACATCATTTCATTCTAAATATTTAAATCTTTTTAGATTTAGATTTAATTAAAACATTTTAGACTTACCTCTAACCTTTAGTGTATTGTGATGTATTGTGATTTAATACAAAGTACACACGCGCAGTTAAAATGTATTACTTTACCTAAATGTTAAGTTAACTTTACATTAGTTAACAGTTAACTACTTTACCTAACTCTCGAGACAGGGGCGTGACCAGGGAGTGGCCTGGGGTAGCACATGCCACCCTTGGAATTTGATTGACCACCCCAGGTGCCACCACACTAATTAACCTTTAAATAGGCTTTTCATTGTCCACAAAAGGCTTGGGGGTAAAACAAAAAAAGCATAACCATTGGTGCCACCCATGCACAAAGTTGTGCCTCACCTGGGCCACCCCATTTTAAAAGATCTGGACACGCCACTGTCTCGAGACCCCCAGGGGATATTTTTCCTTCATGAACTGCAACAATTAGAAACTATGGTTACCGTTAAAATGTGTAGAGCATCGTCTCAGCATACTTTACCTTTGGTCGTTTATTTTTCTGCAGCACATCATCGTGTTCGTGTCCTCCTTCCATATCTGCAGTGCTGCTCGGGCTGCAATAGCTTTTTAAAATCTGGAAACATTGCCTTTTAAAACTACAGCTGAAGTGCAACTTTTTACTCTCTTTCCACCCGATGCAGCGTTCATAACCTCGATTAATGAGCAGCCGAGAGTCCAGGACCCAACCGCAGCTGTTCTGAAGAACCACGGACATAGTAATGCTGCTTTGGCTCTGAAATGTGAAAACGGACTCTGTTCTGGTTTTCTATGCTGCGCTTTTTCACCAAAGCTATCCAGACATTTAGCTGTAAACGACACGGAACGGAGTTCGCGGAAGTGGAATACGCTCACGGACCCTTTTTGGCTCTCGCGCCCCTCCGTATACAGATGAGCATGGAGCATCGACATATGAATTAGGACACACACACCCACATTCAAGAATGAGGAGGAAGGAACTATCGCAGCTGCTGGGTTGTATATTTATGTCGATGTTTGTACTGTCTCGGGACCGAATCTATTGTATATAGTGATAACTTGAGTAGTATATAGTGATAACTTGAGTAAGGTAAAGCGGAAAACAAGGAAAATACAGGATGCTCCATGTTTTTGACTGCCGCTCCAAAAGCGAAGTGTCAAGGAAAACTTTAGGAACGGATGGTTTGGACCTGAAAGGCTTTCTTCGTGTTGTCCACCAGGTAACGTGTGATAGTTTTGCCATGTTTTGATGGGTAAAACGTAACTTTATGAGTTTCCCTGGGAAGTTAAAAGGGTTTTAGTTCAGGCTTTTGACACAATTTTTGTGCCACTTTGAGTAATTACAGTGAAGGAGTCAATACGTTTTTAAGGCTCATAGCTACTTCAGGGGTTTTCGAGGACACGAAAATGTTTATCCATTAGCAGGGGTGGGGAACCCTGGTCCATCGAGGGCCACTACCAGCATATTTTAGTTAGTTCTATGGCGTCAGATGGGTTCCAAAACCCGTGCACGCGTATTCCGCGTCCACATACGGGACTCCCGCGTGGAAGTTAGAACCTCTCGAGTGAAAATATACATGGCGAGAGGTCATTTGTACACTGAGAGGGAGCAAACTGTGTCTGTGAGCCAGTGTTGCCAGATCCAAAATCCCACAATATCGTACAGAGTGGCATAAATTATCGTTGTTCAGTACAAATGATCGTACATTATAAATTTGATAACAACGTTCTATAAACGACTTCTCACCCCAATATAATATAACAAAGAAGGTGTTTTATATTGCCCTGTTTAATTAAACATCTTTAAAACCAGTAATATAATGCCTATAAACATGCAGTGTGTGGGCACCACTCCGACCTCCACGCATTGACACAATATGCACATTTGCGCAGTCCTGTTTATGTCATTTCTACATAGGTTAAATGCACGCGACAAAACATCACAGCAGTGGAAAAACTGACCCAATAAATGACAGAGAAGCCTACTCACCTAGTTGCTGATCTCGATCTCCTCATCTGATTCACTGTCTGTCACAGCAGAATGCCTTTAATCACCTGTACTAAGTGGTCTGTGCTTCTCAGCTTGATTTCAGCATTTTTCACATCATTTTCAAAGTTCTCTTGTTCATTAGTTTGCTGGAGACATTTAAGTATAGATGTCTGGTTTGGCGCAATGCATTTCTTTATTATCGTATTACATAATTTTAAACTGTTCTGAAGTCAGATTTCACCTCCTTTCTTTGTGTTTAGCTCCCTTTGCATGATTCTAGAGAACGGTGATTTCTGATACCATCTGGATGTTGCAGCAACGACAGAAAGCCTTGGTTTCGTTCCCTGTAACAGGTGCAAGCCATCCTTTGAAAATAGGGTCCAACTCCCACGCAGGACGATAAGCTTGTGTCCGGTGTTGCTTTGCTTTACCTTCATCCGTCCCTTCTCTGGTTTTTCTTTTAAGATTAGAAGCCATTGTCTCGTCGCTCTGTCCTCCTAGCTTAATCTTAACTCGCCGCGCTCACGGGCAAACAGCAAAAACTGGCGGGCCACTGCCACATTATATAACCTTACAGTTTCTCGCGAGAGTAGGCCCTATCAATGTGATTGGCCTATTTATTGTACAGATCCAGAGTCAGTTTTTGTAATAGACACAATAGCATAAACCTGTAAGCACTGAGGTGAAATCTGACTTCAGAACAGTTTAAAATTATGTAATTGGCTTGGGAATGCCACAGCAAAAGACGGCGTTACTAGATGCAATGTGAAATTATCGTACATTTGAGGATTTTTGAAACTATTGATCGTACATCGTACAGAGCCCAAAATTATGGTACAAATACGATAATTATCGTACATCTGGCAACACTGCTGTGAGCGCACAAGGGTGTGCACAAGTGACAAACTTGCGTGCGCGCGTTGGCCAACGAGCACAGGGCAGAGGAAAAGCGTGCTGCAGCCTTTCTACACTCTCGGCTGTAGGGAGTTTTAGGCACTGGAGGCGTGGCCTGTGGCAGATCTTTTCTGTGCTCTGATTGGTAAGTTTTTTTCCGCTTCTTAAGGTTGGTTTATGCTTGACGCGTCCGCGAGGTCCGCACGGCTCCGCGCGGAAAAGTTGCGTCAGTTTAACAACCACACCCCTCTGCCGCGCCTCCGCACGGCCCAGAATTTCCGCAACGCGCACCTCGGAAAATTTCTAACCACGCGGATGGACGGACGCGGAAAAACATGGCGGACCGGCAAGAACTAGTACGGCAGTAGGGCTGGGGGTAAACGATTATTTTTAAAACGATTATTCTGACGATTATTTTATCGAATAGTCGACTATTCTAATGACTATTTAGAAAATTAATCTAATGATTATTTTTCTATTGCACAATTAACAAAAGCCAGAAAATCTCAAATAAATTGATAAATTCTTACTGTAAGAGAATAAACACTACAGGCCTTCCATTTTGTATAACACTGCTTTTATTGTGTTGTGGTTGGTTATGTTCTGGTGACGTGGAACTTGGGAGTGCAGGCTGCTGCCTGAGAGGTGGTAGAAGATGGAGTGTCTCCATGCTGCTTTGTTTTGGTCACTTATGTGCGTGAGGCGAGTGGTCTTACGGGTTAAACCAAACTCAGGTGATATTTTACACTAAACCGAAAACCCACAACACTCTAAATGTAATAAAAGGGAGATCTACACCACAAAAAAGATGAACTCTGAACCAAAACGTAACAGCTTATCCCAACGCAAGAAGCTGTTAGCGAAGATGCTAACAGTAGCTTTACCAACATTAAGTTCAAGTTACCAAGTTTAAATAAACCAAAAACACCCGGCAGCAAACAGACCAGCACGGAGGAGAGACTGCTACCACCAAAACAGCTCTCCTAATGTCTGAAAGAAGCTCCTTAATGAAGGGAGAAACGCTCCCGGTGATTTTCTACATCTGCGATAGACACGAAGCAGCGCATCTGACCCCGGAAGTTGTTGTCCGTTGCCGGGAGACGAAGGGGCAAAACAGGAAAATAATCTAGTAGAGGACGGACGTTGTTCCGGGTCTTCGGTATTTGGCGGAGATGTTAGTGAAGGCGGAGAAGAGGGCGAACTAGAGGAAAAACAGGCAGATTCCTCCTCTATTTACAAACTCCTGGGGATGCAACAAGTGGGCGCGGTGCGTCGACTTCCAGATCTGACGTCGACAAATTTTTAGAATCGAGCCGTCGACTTCGTCGAGGCTTCGCTACAGCCCTATACGGCAGAGGTTCGTAAATACAGACATTTGTATGATTCAGCTCTCAAAGATCACCGTGATCAATGTGTTGTTAATAATTCTTGGAGAGAAATAGCTCGCACTGTCGGAAAAGACGAGAACGCTGTTAAAAATGCTGAAATGCCGTGTTGTAAACAGCCATTTCTACTTCTACCATGGTGTAGTGTTGGATGCTTGCCGTAGAGCTCCATGCTGCCCTGTTCAGTTTGGGAGAATATTGGCTCACCGCAGAGACGAGCCGCACAAACCATAAACGCTGCAAGTTGTGAAGCGCGTTCCATCCGCGAGCCGCATCACCGCGTGGAAAGTGAATGCGTCAAGCATAAACCAAGCTTTACCCTCTACCTCATTAACCCATTGGTTTCCTCTCGGAGCACAATGGGGGTAGCTAGGGCTGCTCGATTATGGCAAAAATAATAATCACGATTATGGTGACTGAAATTGAGATCACGATTATTTAGGACGATTTTTCAATTTATGTTGATTTTATTTGTTTTTATTCAGTCATAAAATTGCTCAGGGCACAATCAGGACAAAAATAAGAAACAAGATGATCACTAAAATAACTCCTGATTCCCAGTATAAAAAGACCAATATACTTATAGCTCATAGTTTATGACCCAAGGGCTATAGACCTTGGTTTAACTCATTTAAGTCTAACCAGTACAGACCCAAATACCAATATCTTGCAAATACTGACAGCAAGAATTATACAGTGGCATTTATAACAAATACATGCAAATAAATTGATGTTCACAAAATGTTGCATAATACGTATTTAGTCGTGTCAAGGTGCTGTAGGAGAGTGCACTAGCACCGTGTCCTCAGAGAGATTAGTTATTATTTATCAGCGTGAGGAACTTATTTCTACCTTATTTATAAACTATTTATTTACAAGTCCATCAATTAATGTAATAATTGTCCCAACCACAGCTGCACCCCCCACCCCCCAACTCGGTCTCACAGCAATCAGGGCAAGCTGCTCGTGTGTTTAGCACGCTGCACGCGCACATTTAGCCGTTTTAGTGGCTCAGGAGTCCGCAGGTACGGTGTGTGTGTCACTCACTCTGGTTAATCCAACAGGGAGCCGGCTCCGAGAGCTGTCTTTAGCGACCGACACATCACTACATCATTCCCTTTCCTAATGTCCTGAAGAACGGTCCGGAGAGCAGGCGGAGTGTTTAGCTAACCTGCAGGAAATGTCGACGACAGTTATCCAGAAAGTAGCTAAGGGTTACCAGAGATGTTTCTGAGGTGTTCGCTAGGTACTTTTAAGTTAAAAAGTCAAGAAGGGGGTCTGAAAAGCTGCTAGAAATAGCGTCAAAGTCACAAAGTTGGCAACACTGTGGGAGGAGCGCTTCATTTGCAACTCGGCGCAGCGCAGGCGGGAGGAGCAAATAATCGGCTTGTTTTGTTTTTTATAATCGTTCAAAACTCAGATCGTAATCGTGATTAAAATTCGATTAATTGAGCAGCCCTAGGGGTAGCGGAAGAAATCTGATTATACAGGGAAATGTGATTATTGTAGAGAAGACGAAATAGATCATGTTATATTACAATGTCAGAAATATCAGGCGGAAAGAAGGACAATGGTTCAAAATCTTAGTCAGATGAAAGTGAAACTAGATCTTGTTGATTTATTGAGACAGAATTCAAAAAGTGACTGTTTTCAGATTTTATTTCGGTTTTTGAAAGAGATAAGGATGTTTGGGAGACTGAGGTTTTTTTGGTTTTTTTTTTTCCTGTTTGGTTTTGTTTTGTGAGCGCTGTTCCAGACCACACTCCACACTAGTTGGTGGCGGTAATGCACCATTCGTTGTTTGCCAACCGCCAATAAAACACCAAAAGAAGAAGAAGAAATCTGATTCAATCTTTAGTAAGAATTGTCATAGTTCAGCTGGTAAAGCCGATGACTTGCACTCGGAGGATCAGGGTTCGAATCCAGGCAAGGACAACAGCTGAAGCTGAGT